TGCTGAATATTTTCCCAAATTTACCAGAATAGTACAACAGCAGAGAACTACCAGAAATACAGACTCAGTTTAGAAGAGGCCATGGGGCTAGAGACATTATTACCAATGTCAGGTGGATCTTGGCTGAAAGCGAAGAGTACCAGAGGATTGTCTATATATATTTCATTGATTATGCAAAGGCATGTGACTACGTGGATTACAACAAATTGTGGCTATCCTTGAGAAGAATGGAAATCCCAGAAACTTGATTGTGCTCATGTGAAATCAATAGTTGGATCAGGAGGCAGTCATCAGAATAGAGCAAGGAAACACTGTGTGGCTCAAAAATCTGTGTACTCTCTCCACACCTTTTCAGTTTATATACAGGCCAAATCATTCAGGAGGCTGGATTTATGAGCAGGAATGTGGCATCAGGATTGGAGGAAAAAAATCATCAACAACCTGCAATATGCAGATTGCACAACCTTGCTTGCCTAAAGTGAGGAGAGCCTGACAATTTGCTGCAGAAGGTCAAAAACTGTAGTCTGCAATATGGATTGAAGCTCAACATAATAAAAAAGATTCTCACCATTGGGCCAATTGACAGTATCATGATAAACGGAGAAGAGATTGAGATTGTGGAGCTGAGCAAGATGAAATTGTTAACAATCTACATTCTTGGCATGAGCAGTCAGGAAATAAAAAAATGAATTGCATTAGGGAAGTCTGCTGTCAGGGACCTCTCCAAAGTGCTAAAGAGCAATGATGTCAGTCTGGAGACTAAAATGTGCCTGATTCAGGCCATGGTTTTCACAATTACTTGCTTAACTTAAGAGAACTGGACAATGACTAAGGATGATAAAGAAGATTATTAAACACACTATGAACTGCTAAGAAATAAACAAGTCTGTCCTGTCGTAGATTAAATGAGGCTGCTGTTTGGAGGCAAGGATTTTGAAGCTCCATCTCACATACTTTGAACATGTGGCCAGGATGGACCAGTCCTTGGAGAAGGACATCATGCTTAGAATAGTGGAGGGACTGTGCAAGAGAGGAAGACCTCAGGTGAGATGGATTGACACAGTGACTAGGATAATGGAGGCAGATATGTCAGATACAATATGACTGACTTAGTATAGGGCAAGATTCAGAACTTTGTAAATAGTGTCGCTATGAGTCACAGATGATTTGATGATAAATAACAGCAAGTGCTTGTTTTCACTCTTTTGAGGCTGAGTGATACGAAGTCGGTAGTTCTAAGGAATTCAGCAATTCCTCTTCCAATTTATGAGGAATGGTGGAGGGAATGTCTCATGTCAGGCAAGGGCTGTATAATCCCTGGATACCTACTACCTTCACTGAAGCCTCTTGCTCTTAGGCAGTCATCAAGTGCCACGAGCCCTGGAGCACATACGAAAGGTGTATCTGGAGGTAAGGCTCTTCCTTTATTCTCTTCTGGGCCCATCTGTTCCAGTTGAATTCTGAGACACAAAGGGACCAGACTGACTGAGCCCACAAACAGTAAGCAATGTTGAATTCTAATGGGAAGGCAAGCATATTTTCCCTCTATAGTTTCTGACTGATGTCTTCTCAGCTTTTCTAGTTGGATGGTTTCTCTCAGCAGGGATCACCTAAATAATCCTTCCGCTGCTCTCTACAGGCTCAAACTTCAGGCATTTTGCTAGGAGAGCTATCTTGAAGTACAAAGCTATGTACTACCCTATTGCTATATTGGTTAATATAAATATTATTCGAATTTGTGCACTAACCACTAAAACCAAAGATTAAGAAATTGAGAACTTCTACCAACTTTTATGGTCTGAGATTGATCAAATATGCCATCAAGATGGACTAATAATAATTGGAGATGGGTATGCAAAAATCAGAACCAAAGAAGAGGGAAGAGAAGTTGGAAAATATGGAGTTAATGATAGAAATGAGGCTAGAGATCAAATGACAGAATTTTGTACAGAATATTTTTTCCAGTGGAAATTTTTTTTTAAAAAAAATCCAAAACATAGATGCTGACTATACACATGGATTTCACCTGATGAACAGCCTAGGAATCAAACTGACTTAAAAAAAAAAAGACATAAATAAATGTTGGAGAAGTCTAACAAATATCATTAGTCAAAACCAAGACAGAGGCTAGGTGAGGAACAAATTACCCACTACTCACATGCAAGTTTAAATTGAAGGTGATGAAAAATAAATTCAGGAAAACCGAAATATGACCTTGTATATATCATATCAGAATCGAAAAAAAAAATCTCAAGAATATATTTGACACACTGAATGAAAACTCATGACTGAAGACCAGACAAATTATTGGATGACATCACCCACCTTGAAAACAAAAGTTCATTAAGAAGAGAAGGGAGAAAGAACACTAAAACAGATGTCATAAGATACTTGAAACTTGCACTAGAATGCACAGAGGATAAAACAAAGTTAAGAAGTATTGAAACGAACAAAAGATTTCAAAGGGCAGCTCAAAAAGACAAAGCATTGTAACAAAATATCCAAAGAGAGTTAGAAAACTAAAAGGGAAGAACATCCTCATGCTTACTAGTCTTTGCCAACAAATCTGAGACTGAATAACTGACTGGACCAGCTAATGAGAAATCTACACCTAGATCAAGAAGCAGTTATTCAAACAGAACAAGGGAACACGGTTTAAAAATCATTGTGCATGAACAAGTGTGTATCAAAGACGTGTCCTCTCTGAATATCTATCCAATTTGTATGCTGAGCAAATCATTCAAGAAGTTGGACTCTATGAGAAGAATCAAGATTGGAGGAAATCTATCAACAACCTTCATTATGCTTATCTTCATAATTATGTTATCTTATAAACTTGTTTACAGAAAGTGATGAACACTTGAAGCACTTACTGTCTAAGACTACAGTCTTCACAAAAAATCTTCCCTACTGAACCAATAGCTACTTCAAGATAAATGATGAAATTATTGAAGAAGCAAATTATTTACTTTTATTCAGATCCATAATTAACACCCAGGGTAACATTAGTCAAGAAATCAAAGGTTTACTGCACAGGGAGGAAAAAATCTGCTGTCAAGGGTCTCTCCAAACGTCTAAAGAGCAACGATGTAATTTTAAAATCTTGGGTGTTCCTGATGTAAGACATGATCAGATTAAGTCAGTTGATATATTAAAAGCTGGCAAACTAAGCACAAAGCAATGTTTGAAGCATGGAATTTCTGCTAGGAGAAATAAAATTTAGGAAGTGAGGCAATAGGACTATTAAGGTTTACTGCTTAAATGACTCACAGGCCACTGAAGCTGGAGATGAGACTAAAGCATTGAGTCAATCTCACTTAAATGCTACCATTAGATTTTCAGCGTAGAGTGAGCCAACAGTGGATGTGTGGTAATGTTGTTAGGAAGGACCAGCCCTTTCACACACATCATGCTGGGAACATTACAGGGTCATCAAAAGAGAAGACCCTCCATGAGATGGATTGATCCAGTGGCTGTAAAAATAGATTTGAGCATGATGAAAATCCTGACTGTGCACAGGACAGGGCAAGAGTCCAAATCTGTAGGTCACTATGAGTCATAGTCAACAGCAAAAATAACAAGAGGAAGAGAGGTAATGCACAAAATAAACATCAATAGGAAGCTATAGACACATCTCTGGTAATACTTTTGCTAACAGTATTATCTGGTAATAGTAATGCAAACAGTTGGTTATGACAATAGTTAATAAAGATGAAATTGGTGAGTTCATCAATGTCTGTCTCAATGCCCCAAGTTTTCTACTCAAAGACAGCTAGACTAGTCCCCTTCCCAAAGAAGGGGTGTTAATAGACACTGGCAAAAGCACAGCTATAGAAAAAAGGGATAACGTAACTGAGAGAAAGAATAGCTGTAGTTGGTACTACAAGGGTTTCTGCCCTGAGAGTTCTAATGTAGAGAAGTAGCTTCTAAATATATATTTGGTTCTTCAAGTGAACATTTTTACTGATGGGAAGCAGCATGTGATATATCAGACATTTGCTGGAATGTGAGGTCATATACCTTGTCTGAGATCCTCAGCAGTGGTTACTTTGGCTATCGCTATAGTTTAGAACGCAACACAACAAACGAAACAAAAATTTTTAGTATTAGGGATTTAACATTTCATACTTAAAAAAAACCCCACAGTCCCAGTTATACAAGGGTAACTGTGTGAACTTTACTGATGCCTCAGCAAGGGTAGGAGAGAAATAAGTTAAAGTTTAGAACCAATTTTAAGGCCTTTCATAGATAGATGATAGATAGATAGATAGATAGATAGATCTGTTGTTACATACCTTTGAGTCAAGATCAACATGTAGCTGACCCTCCAGCAGGTTTTCAGCTGCAATAAATAGCATGAGAAGAGATTGCCAATCTCTCTCTCACAGAATATTTGATATATTAAAAAACCTGCTTGTGTTTGGGTTGGCAGCAAATCCTTACTACTAAGTCACCAGAGCTCTCTTTGTCTGTTCGTCCATCCATCCATCGTTCGTTCCTATCTATCTATCTATCTATCTATCTATCTATCTATCTATCTATCTATCTATCTCACTGTATTTGAGAGGATGTATCTTTCAGTTGCACAAGTTGTCTAGTTGGAAGATCGGTACTAGTAGGAAGTACTCTGGCGGCCAGGGCATTGTGCTGCTAACCCAAAAACTATGTCTTCAGTGGTTTGAATCCTCTGGAGAAAAAATGGGCAATCTCCACTTGTTGCAATTTACAGCACCTGAAACCCAATGGAGAGGCACTATGAGTTAGGACCGAGGAAATGACAGTGAATTGTGCTGATACACACATGCACGCACACAAAATCACTGCCTCTTAGAGGCCCCAGTGGCACAGTGCAGGGCTAATAATCAAACGTTTAATAATATGAATTTACTACATGCTCATAAGGAGAAAGGTGGGCCGTCTCCAAGTTTACAGCCTTGGAAACCCCATGGACGATCACAAGGAACCAGAATTGACTCTACAACAGTGGGTTTGTTTTGCTTTTATCTTCCAAATGTTTTCCTAAATGCTTCTTTTACATCTTTGTTTCTCAGGCTATAAATAAACGGGTTCATCATAGATGTTATGACTGAGTAGAATACAGAGATCACTTTATCCCTTTCATTCATTTTTCTGGAGTTTGGCCTCATGTAAGTGAATATTGTTGATCCATAGAAGAAGACAACAACAATGAGATGGGAGCCACAGGTGGAGAAGACCTTGAGCCGCCCCTCTCTTGACTGCATTCTCATTACAGTGGAGAGAATATTCCAGTAGGAGATAAGAATGAGGGAGACAGGTCCTAGAAGGATCATCACTCCCATTGAAAAGAGGGCCATCTCTGCCTGGTAGGTCTCTGCGGAAGCCAGCCTCAGGAGTGCAGGAGGTTCACAAAAGTAATGATTAATTACATTCTGTCCTTGGTATGGGAGACACAGTGTAAATGTGCTATCTACTAGGGACACAAATCCCCCACTGGCCCAGGCTACTATGGCCAGCTGGGCACAAATCCTCTGGGTCATGATGGTGGAGTAGTGTAGGGGCTTGCAGACAGCCACGTAGCGGTCATAGGACATCACTGCTAGAAGCGAGCTCTCTGTAGCTCCAGCTACTAAGAAAAAAACCATCTGAATTGAACACCCAATAAAGGAAATGGTCTTTTTGGTTATCAGAAAATGGAGTAACATCTGAGGAACAACGCTTGTAGAGAAACAGAGATCAGCAAAAGACAGGTTTTTAAGGAAAAAGTACATGGGCGTGTGAAGTCGGGAGTCCACGTTGATAAGGATTATGATGAGCAGATTCCCAAGTGCTGTCAGAAGATAAATGATGAGAAATATCACAAAAAGCAGGATCTGAGTCTGTGGATCTGAAGAAAGACCCAGTAAGATGAATTCAGTCAAATAGGTTATGTTTTCTTTGCCCATTAATGCTCACTCTTGTCTGTTCATCAATATTAACAGAGCAACTAAATAAATGCTCACTATGACTCAGCATCAAAGCCTGAAAGTGAAGTTCTCAGTGTAAGGTATTTTTTTTTCATGTTAAAAAAATCTTCAAACTATTAAGATATTTGCTTGGTTTTTTTAAAATTTTTATTTTGTACTGGTTTATTTACAAAGTTCATGTACACTGTGTCACACCAGTCTTTCAAGATACTTGTTTTTCTGCAATTTACTTATGTTCTTTAAAGCCCTCTGTTTCATAGACAGAGCAATACCAGAAATGTGACCTCCTAGTGATCCCTTCTGTCAGGCTACTATCAACAATTGATACATTATTTAGTAATTATGGAGATAAAGTCAAGAAATATCTTCATAGGACTGAAATTGAACTCTAACGCATTATATGGAGTAAAAAAATAAATAAATATGAGTAGTGGGGTTTTTTTTCCTGGAAAGTTCCATTTTTGTAGTTAATAGACAGTAGACTTTAGTTTTCCTATAATTAAAAAGTAGAAGTTTCTATTGTGCTTCAAAGTGATGCATTATAATTGTTCCAAGCAAGGAAGGGCATTTAAAGAGACCAACTCAGATTGTGTACTGGTCCTTCCCAAAACTCTTCACTGGATTGAAGAGTCAAGTCTTCATTGAAGTGTTAAGGAGTAAATAATAATAGGCCCTCATCATCTTAGAGCTAATTGAGTATGGAAGAGGTCAGATTCACGTAGTCTGCACATGGATCAGTCCTTCGTGGAGACCTAAAGTTGCCACAACAATGTCGTATCTCATTTATATTACAATTTGCGTCAGAATCTGTAATAAATTGCATACGTTGATCTGTTGGAAATCCAGTAGTGGTCTATTTTGATGACGTCAGACAGGGACTCCATTCAACTCTGTATATTAGCAAAATGCAAACAATAAGATGACTGAGTCCAAGAGAATTGGAAAATAGTTTGAAAAGGCTTGGGGAAGGTAGCAGGACCACAGACAAACAGTGGAAGATTAGAGCCGAAGCCCAATAGTCCCAGAAAGAATTGAAGTGCTAATCTTACAGGTGCCAGTTACAACAAAGGAGAGCAAACAGGGCAGAAACTCAGAGGTCAAATATTGTAACATATAAGGATTTCTTCTTCCATATAAAGCTCTATGTCTGGTGAGTAATAAAGGAGAAAAGTGTACAGAGAAATTGTATCTGGACTACAGGCTTACTTTATTTCAAGACTACTGCATGAGAATAAGGTTATTTCCAGTTCACATTAGATCTTATACTAGGTCCAGTCTGAACTTACATTAATACCCATTGTTGTTGAGAGACAAAGACTGGCATAAAGAAAAAGATCTTTCCTTTACCACCAGTGTATAGAGAATACACAAGAGGAGTGGTGAAAAAGTTGGTGACAGAATGATTTGTTCTTTTAGGTAAATACTTTAAGACTGTCTTATAACATTTTAATGGGTGATGATGTAGATCTAGTGATTTGCCATTAGTCCTTTTAGAAACTGAAACAGAAAAGAAAAAATACTCTCTTTTAATAAATTATTGCAAGAAAACATTTGTTTCTGTTTTATGTGTGTGTCTGTGTATGTGAGAGACAGACGGTGGATGAGCATGTGTATGCTGGGTTACAATGTAAATTGTTTCTTATCGAAGGTTATTCTCAAGAGCATAAAAAAGAATATTTTTATAAGCCAAAAGTTCTTAATTTCCAAGAACATCAATAAAACAATGGGCTATTGATCTCACTTCTCAATAAATATTTTGTGCATTTTCAGTGTTTTATTATGATAAATTTTCATGTAGCAAACAGTGCATATTTTATTAGTAGAATTTGAAAACTTTGGGGAGATACACACACACACACTTCCCCCCCCCTTGTTCTGTACCATTGAATTGGATCTGACTGGCACAGGAGGAGATGGTCCCTCCTTCATCAATGGACCATCTGGTGAATCAAACCACATCCCTTTGGGATTGCAGCACAGCTTTTTGTCTCTTCAGGGTAATAAACCTATCTCACTCTATACATCAGTTTTGTTGGTGTACTTACCTTACAGTCATTTCCAGTTTATGCCAGCTCTTCTCTTCCCAAAGCATATGTTCAAGAAATGTTCACTGGTCAACTGACTAAATGAATGCTTGTATTCAGGAATAAGTGAACTCTTGCACACATATATACACACAGATACACATATTCAGGAATGAATGATCTCTTGTACACACACACATACACACTGAAACACTATAAAATACCTTTGCTTGCAAACTCTCCTAAGCACTAACCATCCTTTCTAAAGTACAATAAGAAAGTTGTAAGAAATAGCTAATACTAGGCGATTATAAATGAGCATGGAAGTGTCAGATTATATGCCCAAAAGAAGGAAAAACACAGGGTGAGTGTGATAATCTGGAATACTTAATAGAAATGAGAAGGCATCCACAGTAGAAGAAGGCCTCATTTGCAACCTATTTCCAGACAGGATGTTTCCAATGTGGTAATAATCAGAATAGTAGGACATTGGGGCAAGCAGCACTCACCTACCCAACCCTGTCATGCACTCAACCCTGGCTCCTTCTAACCTCCTAACAAATAGATGACAAACAGTGAAAAGTTCTATCTGTATCTCAATACATCTCCTGTGAGCCCTCTGAGTATGATCAAGACAAGAGTGGGAGAAAAGTTAAAGAAGAGAATACTAAAGGCTAAAAGATCAGAGAACAGGGAAATCTTGTCCTTTTGCTTTTTCTGCGCCTCTCAGTGCAAACAAACTATCTTTGGGAAAACCCAGGATTTCCAAGCCTGTGAACTATTAAAAAGGAGGAGGGGAAAGGAAAATTCTGTGTAATGTGAAAGTAAGGATATGAATCTTCTTCTTGGATAGTTATTAGATGTGGGGACATTGAATTCTTTCAGAATTCCCACCTTCTTACCTGGAAGTCTTGAATGAATTTATCCAAGGATGGGCAACTACCAGAGATACACTCAGGAGACACACTGAGTGCAGTGGACTGAGATCCAGAGACAGAAGTTGAAGATACAGCATGTGGGACTGGGATCAACTGATCCTTAACCTTCTCTCCAGATAAATGATCACGACCTAGGCTTCACAAGTAATTCCATTCCAAATTTTTGAGATCTTCATGGCTGAAGTAAACACTTATTTTAAGTATGCAACCCAAGTGGGAACTTTTCCAGGGAACAAGACTTTAAAAGATGAGGCTTTGAGAGGTGAAGTAAACAAAACATTCCCTGGAGTTCTCTTTAGGAACAGTTCACTTTATTACATCTACACACAATAAGGTGTCTTGGGACTTTTGATAATTCTCCCCTTTTTGCTATCATAAATTAAATTCCATGAATGTACTCTAATATTTAATCCTTTTCTAAACAAAGAAAAATCTAGTAGGCTCAGTCAAAAAGCCACCCACTCATGCTTTGTAACTCACAAGAAAAAGTCTTTCCATTTAAAGCTTTAGAAAAATAAAATTTTCTACCCAGCTTTATTCTAGATTAAAATAATTATTCATCTGATGATGCAGTGGTCTCAGTTTAAACAATGCTATTGTTGTTGCTAGTTGCTATCAAGAGTTTGACAACTGATAGCAGACAAATGAAGATTACATCAAAATCTTGCCCTATTCTGTACTATTCTCAAAATCTCTCCCATGCTCAAAAACACAATTAAAATGACTATGTCTATCCATATTGTTGAGAGTCTATCTTTCCTTCTCTGATGTTCAACATTTCCAAGAATGAGATCCCAATCTTTTTGAGAACATGCCCTAAGTATGTTAGTTGAAGTCTCACCTTCTCTGATTCTAAGATCCTAGTCCCTGATTTTGGTTGTACTTTTTCTCAGAGAGATTCATTTGTGCTTTTGGCAGATCATGTTATGTTGTTGTTATGTGTTGTCAAGTTGCCTGCAACTCATAGCGACCCTATGAACAACAAACAGCCCAATAAACTTTGCTGTCATGTCCCAATCTTATTGTCTCTGACACACCTATCCCCCATTACCCCAGCCACTGAATCAATCCATCTCATCAAGGGTCTTCTTCTCTTGTACCGTCTCTCCACCTTCCCAAGTATGACATCTTTCTCCAAGGACTGGTCCTATCTTGCAATATGTCCAAAGTATGTCAGATAAAGCTTCAGAATCTTTGTCTCCAAGGAGCAGCCTGGTCTCACCCTCTGTAGGATGAACCTGTTCATTCTCCTAGCAGCTGTGGTATAGTCAATATTCTTCTCCAGCACCACAGCTAAACAGCATCAATTCCCATTCTATCATCCCTAATCATTGTCTAGCTCTCTAACACATAGCAAGTAATTGCAAAGACTATAGTCTGGATCAGGCACACCTTAGTCTCCAGATTGACATCATTGCTCTTCAGTACTTTGGAGAGGTCTCTAGCAGCAAACTTTCCAATGCAATTCATCTTTTAATTTTTGGCTGTTGGTACCAAGAGTGTTGATTGTGGAGCCAAGCAAACTAAAGCTGTTAACAATTTCAATCTCTTCATCTATGATGATGCTGCCAATTGGCCCACTGGTGAGAATCTTTGTTTTCTTCATGTTGAGCTACAATCCATATTGAAGGCTGCAGTTCTTGACTTTCTGCAGCAAGCGCTTCATGTCCTCCTCAGTTTCAGCAAGCAGGGTTGTTTCATCTGCATAAATCAGATTGTTGATAAGTCTACCTTCAATCCTGATTCCACATTTCTCCTCATAGAGCCCAGCCTCCCAGATAATCTGTTCTACTTATAGATTGAAAGGGTATGGTGATAGGACACATCCCATGACTGGAACAGCACATCAACATAGAACTCCCTGAAGTTCAGGCTGAGTTTAGAAGAGGCTGTGGTACTAGAGATATCATAGCTAATGTCAGATGGATCTTGGCCGAAAACAGGGATGCCAGAGCAAAAGACATTGGACCAGAGGATTGGCAGATCATGGTATACTCAATATTTTTCACTAACACTG